ACTGCGACATGCAGCAGACTGGATCGTCTCATCGATCGTCAGGGTTGAATCTAATGTCGCTGACGGAGCGAACAATTGTCCCACAAAATCCTGGATGGCCATTGGTGGATCTCAAATTGGACCCGTTAGTTATCCGTTATTTGATGGAGACATGTGTAAATGGTTGCGTTCAAAGACGCCTTGAAATACTGGTACATAATTCGGCATCCCAGATGCGTTCAAATTGGAAAACTTCGTCAGGCAGTCAATGTGGCTTCTGTTCTTTAATTAGTGGAATATACTCGGGCGCTATCAAGAGGTGTGGAAGACTCTAAAGGACCGCTATGACAATAAGAAGCAGCTAGCGGAAATACACGTATCCCGTTTCTAACCTTAAACAGCTACCCAGGAGTCATCACAATCGTTATTGGCTATTGTGGACACAGTTCATGAGTCGCTGCGTGCATTGCGTGTTATGGATATCCCCATAAATCAGTGGGATGCGTTAGCTGTACCAATAGTGGTGGCAAAACTTCCAGCGATAACTAAGCGAGATTGGTGTATGAGGTGCTCCAGTACAGAAATACCACAGTTAGAAGACCTTTGAAATTTCTGGAGAGACATGCTCATAGCCTTGCTCCTGAACCATCGGTCTCATTAATGGGTTAGCGCATCGAATCGCCATATGTCCACATTATGGCTCTTAGTATCGAGCAACGGTTTGTAGACCTAAGGAGACTGAGGATGTGTTCCAAATGCTTACGTACAGGTCATTCTTATCGACAGTGTTCATCTGGTAGCTGTCGAAATTGTGGTCGTAAGCACAATAAAATCCTATGCCGCAACAAGTTCAATAACACGTCAACGCTTGCATCAACAACGACGCCGACCGTATGCAATGGGGTACCTGCGGAGGTGCCAATAACAACATAATAACTAGGCGCACCTGCAAGGTCCTCGCTGCAACCCAAAGCCGATAACCCTTTTAGCAACGCGCGTGCGTTGCCTTTGGAGAAGCATCAGTGCTTTGTGACGGATCGTCTAGCAAACTGTTTGCAGCTGTATCGGAGAAAATGTGATGTGAGGGTATAAGGTGTAGGTGCTACCATCAATACTCGAGTGAAAGGCAGCGTTACGTTCACTCTTAGATCAACAACAACTAACTTTGAAATGAGAATTGATGCCTTGGTTTATCGTCCATTACTTCTCCGACTCAACAGTGATGATTACATGAACCAATGGCCATATTTGAGAGACATAGATTGGCGGACAACCGGTTCGGTACGCCTGGAACTATCGATGTTGTTATCGGCGCGGGCATGTGGGCGACTCATAGAAGGTGAAATCATCGGTGAAGGACCAGACGAACCAGCGTACCCGCTTTGGATGGTGGTGTTTGTTTCAGCAACAGTGACCCTTCCTGCAAGGAATCATTGCTCACTCATCACTTCGCTAGACAGGGAGGACCACCGGTTGAGGAAGTGGGTCCAAGATTTGCAAATGGAGAAAATCGCAATGGTTGACGATCTGCCAGAGAATGAATGTGGTCAGATCTTTGAGACCACTCATAGCCGTACCTCAGACGCCGTTATATTGTACTTACCCTTGCGACGAAAGGCAACGGAATTAGGTGACTCTAACGCACTGGAAAATAGTTTTCATTATGAGGGAGTATGCAGCACTCGGACATTTGGAACATATACTCGATTGGCTAAACTATCGGTCACAGCTTCGCATCAAATGGTGGGTGGGAATGATTCCACGCGTTCAGACATCATTTCACGGGTTTTGCGATGCTAGTATATAGCTTATACCGCAGTTATTTATGCGAAAACGTCGAACACAAACGGTTCGGTGCGTTTCACACTTCTGACGGCACGCACCAAGGTGGCACCACTCAAAACTGCTACCATTCTACGCCTAAAGCTTGCGGCAGCGATCCTTCTTGCTGAGACATTCCAGAACGTGCGAGATTCTTTGCGATTAGTTGATGTTCCCTACTATCTGTGGTCGGACTCAGCGATCGTATTCTATTGGCTGAGGAAGAATCCAGCAACACTTAAACCATTCATATCAAATCGGGTTCGTAGAATACATTCGTTCGGCTCAGAACCCAGCTGATTGTGCCAGTAGAGGCATCACACCCACCGAGCTATTAGTACATCCCCTTTGGTGGCATGATATGATGTTTTGGGACAGTAGTGATGTTCCTCTTAGCAAGGATGAGTCAAATTTCTTACTCGCCGAAAACCGAAATACAACCAAATTTATAGTACTCGTTTCACATCCGTTATATACTCGTCGTCCAAACGGACACACTATTCTGTTAACTGAACGGTTCAGTAGTATCACTCGATTGTTGGGTACATTGGCCATTACCCTGCGCTGGTTAAGAAGGCGTCGACACTTTCGTCAACCGGTGATCGTTGCTCAGGAATTGGAGGACGCATTATACACTATAATCCGTTTAGAACAAGAGGAGCATCTTGCAGATGAAATTCGACAATTGAAGTCGAGTTCAGGTCATCTTCCAGTCGGATAATACCTTTAAATCCATTTACAGACAAAAACCAAATCCTCCTTGTCGGGGGACGCATCCACCAGGCCGAACTAGGGCATGATCAACGATTCCCGATTATTCTACCTAAATCAACGCCGTTGGTCAAGCTTTTACTAACTCAGGCGCATGAGGTTACATTGCATGGAGACACGCAACTTATGCTGCATACTCTTCGTCAACGCTTCTGGATTCTGAGCGCCAGGCAAGCAGTAAAGAGTTTCATCCATAACTGCGCTGTATGCCGCCTTCATAGAGGGGAAGTCCTGAAGCAATAAATGGCTTACTTACCCGGGCAGAGGATCAGAGCAGCAAGGCCATTCATATCATCTGGTGTCGATCACTGTGGGTCATTTACACTACGTATCGGGACAAAACACTCTCGAACACTCATCAAGACGTATCTCGCAATATTCGTATGCATGGTCACCAAGGCCGTACACATTGAGGTGGTTGATGACCTATCGGCATAGGCTCTTTTAGATGCTTTCACTCGTTTCATCAGCCGCCGCGGACCCTGTCGGGATTTATATAGTGATAATGGTACAGCCTTTGTGGGTGCCAACCGACTCTTGAAGGAAGATCTCGCAGCATGGCAGGGTAAAAGTAATCAGCGATCGTTAGCAGATTCGGACACACATTGGCATTTCATCACACCCAGTGCGCCACATCATTTGACACGCTGTGTGGGTGCGCAGGTCATGTGGCATAGTCAGCTGCAGATACTGGCCGTAAGAATAGAGGCCTGTCTCAATTCCCGTCCTATTACACCACTCTATGACGATCCTGAAGAGAAACTTGCATTAACGCCAGGTGATTTCCTGATTGGGTCGCCTCTTCTAGCGGTCCCTGAACCAGATATCAAACATATTCCTAGCAATCGGCTGAAATAGTGTCAATGGATATGTCAAATTCAACAAGGATTTGGGGAGCGATGGAGTGAGGAGTATCTAAACAGTCTGCAGAGACGGTACAAATGGTTTCAACGCACGAGGAATATTAGGGTGAACGATATCGTTCTAGTCAAACAAGAGAACCTGCCTTCCACTCACTGGTGCCTGGATCGAGTTATAACACTAGAGGATACATGAGACGAGCCATCCAGAAAATATATCTATTGATAGAGAAGGAGGTTTTTGAGTCAACCGACTCGACCGGGCAGAATGTTTAGGATTAGTTACATTAGTTTAAGTTTATTTTCTAATAATGTCATGTTCAGATCTGGCAATACAGTGTTATCTAAGTTTTATATTTGTCATCTCTCTTCTATCATTCATTCCCTTTATAATTATCTTTGTTTATGCATATTTAAAGTTGCGGTATTTTAAATTCCGTTGAACTCCTATAAATGTCGGAGGACATGTGTGTACGATCTCTTCTCTGATTGTAACTCGGTGCTGATTGTACTCATCTCTGGTTTGGTGTCAAGCAAACCGTTCACAATCGTACAAGTCCCAATAAAGCATTGAGAACTCTACCCGCTGGTAAATTAATTATTTATCATAGTGGTTAGTATGTAGAGGCATCTTATGAAACTCACAGAGCACTTTTTTCTGGTAATGAATGTCGTAATGTCAAAAAAGGATAAAATCGGGTCAATACTACTCCTAGCTCCCATATACCTGATAAAAGAATTTTAATCTAAAGGTTAGCTTTATATCGTATATATCGATCAATATATAAGGTATCTTAGGAAACTTGTATGTGGAAATATAATACTGCATATGCTATAGTTTAATGCCGAAAATATAATATATGAAATGAATCCCAGCCCTCATATACTAACTGTAATGATTTTCGTTATTCCAACAGAGTTTTTGCCCAATATCTGACAGACATGAATGATCTTCACAAAATTGCATAGAAACACGTTCTTTAGTAAACTTAAGTAATGACAAGGTATAGTGACTTCCATCCTATTTGACCTTTCATCTGTGTTCAACATGTTCAATGTGTGACGTCACAATCAATAATGTTTCTTAGTGCAGAATATAAATGAAATATATTAAAGCCTTGAAGCCCGGAATTTTTAACGCCCGAAACTATTTCCCCGTCTTTGCTTTTGCCAAATTACGATAGTATAAAATGTTTGGTTACACCCGAACTCAGCTAGATATAAAAAGAAATAAATACGAATTTCTATGTTCTGCACACAAGTGTTAGAAACTTTACAAATATTAGTAAAAAAGTAAAATTTCTTTTCCAAATCCGTAGAATCTTTTGGTTCATAATATCACTGATTTCTACACCTTTGGTGAAGTATAATATATGAATAATAAAATATATTTTACTTTTCCTAATACCCTTATTTTACATACTTAAAAGAAATATGCAAATTTTACCCATATACCATATTAATAACTGTATTAATTAGCGCAGTGACGATACGCGTTAGTCATTACCGAATGTTAAAGTGTTCCAAAATGTAGTTGCTAAAAATAATATTTGCTTTTAAATCACTAACCTTTTTTATTTCCTCAACGGGTAAGTCATTGACGTTTTTTTCAGAAATGTCGGATACGATTTCACGACCCGCGACGAACCATCGAACGCTGGCTTCAGGTGGATGAACACGCGCACAAAATACCACTTCGTCTGCATTGACATTCGTTAAAACCGGCAGCGGCGATTTCAACAGTATTGGCGCAGACTCTGCCCCACCGTCGACGGTCAGCCGACAAGCAGTGCTGCAGGTTAGGCCGCTGGCAGTGCGTACCTCACAGGTGTACTCCCCGGAATCTAAATCGAAAACATCGTTTATGCGCAGACAAAGTACGCCATTGCCATGGTCGATTTGACTATGAAAAAGACGGAATTGTAAAATATGGTATATACCGCAATATTCACTAAGATTCTAGAGCTTTATGGACTTACTAAAAGTCGTCATCATCGACCAACACTTCGCCGTTACGCGTCCATGTATAAGTGTATGGTTCATGGCAATCCAATTCAAAACGCAAGTCAACAGTCTCGCGTTCGTGAGCTTCTACTTTCGTGGGCAGGGATCGAGAAATACACGGTTCTCTTAGACGTGCCGCCAATGCATCACTTTCTGCTCCTTCGAATTTCACCCAAGTGCTTGTGAGCAAGGGTTCACTATCGCATTGAATGATACATGTGTAGAGTCCCTCGTCTTTCTCCGTCACATTGTCAATACAAAGCAGTGCTTCGTGTTCGTTCACCATAATGTGCACACGTTCATTATCTTCGTTCAGCTCAGTGGCGTTATGATAAAATTTGCATGATGGCACCGAAGACCCGCGATAGCCAGTAGCCAATGCCATGCGGCCGCCTATAGCCGTCGATGGTCCCATAATACGTCTACGTAGGTGTGCATTGCGTTTTGAAGAACTTGCACGAACATTACGTACGGAAGGGGAGCGTGAATAGCGCGAACGGCTAATTACATCCAAACGCGCCGTAGCTTCAATGCGTCCATAATCATTCTCCAAGGTGATACGGTACAGACCGGCATCATCGAAAGTAACTTCGTCAATCTCTAGGAAACGCAAATCATCCACCTCCTTTACAGCGATCCGGGCAGTAGGCGTAACAATTATACCTTCTTTATCCCATGTTGACCACGGCGTTGGATGACCAGCAATTGCGCATTGGAAGCGCACATTGTCCCCCTCTTCAACGACACGGCTGTGGGGAATGGCTAGGAATTTCGGCGCAGCCAAACTACGAGTGTCCAACATTGCGCGTCGATAACTGCCGATGCAACCATCACTCAAATCGATTTGCGATGAACGATAAGAAAGACGTCGAGGCGAAAAGCAACGGTTGGGTGTGGAACGCGGCGTTGAACGTGGTGTAGAGTTGGCCGAGAGCAAACCGCTGGGCCGGGACAGCTGACGATTTAACATATTCTCCTTTTCCTCAGGCACATCAACAATAATACAAGCCGAAGACAGTGTGCGGCCAAGATTATTCTTAGCGACGCAGGTGTATTCGCCTTCATCCTCTGGATAAATGCGTGGTATGCTTAGCGTGGCCTTGATGCCGTCGTAGGACATTGTGAAATCTTTGCCACTAGGTAGAACACGCCCATCCTTTTCCCATATGATTACCGGCTCCGGTAATGCCTCAACATGACATTCCAAAGTGATGGCATCACCGTCGCAGCAACGTAAATCACGCAGATGACGGATGAAGCGCGGGAAGGTTTCTACGTTCCTGTGAATAATAGACAATAAAGTTTGAATTGTAGCCTTTATATAATGTTGCGTAGCGCACTCACCCGTGTCGAATGGACCCTTTCTCCATTGGCGAATTGTTGAGAATATCTGGAAAAAGAGACGTTTAAAAGGTTTATAATAACTACAAGCAATATACTCTTTTTCGTTATAATCAATTGTAACTAAAGTGTCTTTTGTACATCTTGGCCACTACTTGTGTACATACATATATGTACAAAGAAAAAATATTTTGAAATTAGTTAAAGATTAAATATTTTCGTTTCGAAATTAGAATAAAAGCCAATTAAATTTTTAATTAAACACAGAAAAAGGAAAAGAAATATTTTAACTTTTCCGGATATTACATAGTAAACTGCATACATCCAGGCGCGCAAATGCTGCTAACTGTTACACGCGACACCTGCCGGTCAATCTCACATATAATGCTACGTAATTCATTCTTAATTCATAAAATCAAAATAAAGGTGTTTGCATGTTACATCAGAGAACGTATATCATGACCTCGTTCTCTGGTTACATGCATGTCTACGTATATATAAATATATGTTATCTGCGAAAGTAGAATTAGCAGAAATATATATAACACCAAAAATTAATTCACCGTGATGGCAACACCAAATGGCAACCAAATAATGTTTCCGCAACATCTGGTACATTCATAAGCATTTGTCTAAATATAGCTTCATTTCGATTTCTATCGCAAAATTTTCATAATATTTAGAGTCAACGTCGGCGTGGATAATAATTTAACAAATAATGATTATGATGCAAATGGAATTGGAGCCAGGATTCCGCAAAGCAGACTTTAACAATATACCAACGGTCCGCAGCGAAACAATATTCGGCTTCGTCACAAGAATTGCCACCACCGGTGGTAGCGTGAAGAACCAATCTGCCGGCAGGTTTGTTTATTAACAAATTAAAATTGTAATCTGTGATAATAGTTTGTAAATTGTATTTAGTAATAGCACAGATGTGGATTTGCTCATAGACTATGTACAAGTCAGGAAAGCTGGAGATATATTTGATGTGCGTGCCGTTGTCTTTCCGGCAGCAAGTGGCGGAAGCCAAGAGGCGCACGTACGCGTTTCATTAAAAGTAGATGAGAAAAAAGACGAAATTTCCGAGACAAAGTGCGGTATCTGCACGAAGAAAGGTGTGTGTTTTTTTCTCATATTTTATCAAACACCAGCATATAATGTGAAATCACAATTTAATTTCCAGAATCATGTCCACACATACTAGCTTTTATTTTCTGGTTGCATCGCAAGAGTACAGATACCGAAGCTACGGCAATACTGGATTTTTGGGGTAAAGAAACAGAAGCACTAATCGAGGAGGAACGTGGAGAGACACTGCGCATTCGTGATATATTCGCCTGTGATGAATTACGTCTTGAAGCCGATTTAGAAGCAGCTGCAGTAAGTGAAAGCGAAGGGCAAGCTTTCTTTGAGGCTGTACTTGATGAGATGGAAAATTTAGGCTTGAAAGATTCCGCTCTGTACCGCCACTGTAGATCGGTATCAGAAGAGTTCGAGCCGGTATTTATACATCATACAATGTTGGATGCATCAAACAATGGTGTAAAAAGTTGTCGTACTTTCGGTCAACACATGGAGGAGCAAGCTAAACGTGGACTTTTCGAACGACTTTCAGAGGTTTCGAAAACAAGTTATAAGACACGGCTTTGGCTGGAAACTCAATATATGCGATTACGTTGTTCTCTCATACATCGCATCGCATCAAGAAAAGATTCCTTAGAAGATGAAAGTATTTTAGAATTGCTTTTCTGTAAAGAACGCGAGTTCAATGCCGAAGAGCGACAACAACTGAAGCAACATAAACGTTTTATTTTAAAACAAACTGAAAAACTGGAAAACAAGACATACACTGAATGCGGTTTGTTGCTCAATGAAAGCTATCCATATATCTGTGCATCGCCTGATGGAATTACCGACGACCACATCGTGGAAATAAAAGCACCAAAAACTGATGATGAATTTGAAAAGTATCTAGAGGGACGTGAAACAATTGCACCCAAATACATGGCCCAGATACAGATTCAAATGTATATGGCAAACGTGACTAAAGCTTTGTACTGTGTGCTAAGTCCTACGTTTGACACTAATGGTGCCTTGCATTATGTTTGGGTGCAAGCCGATATGGAATTTGTTGCGAGCTTGCTCGGAGCTGCTGAGGATTTCTGGAAAGATGTGGTATTTCCTCGACTCAACAAAATCTATCTTGGTGGTCCATAAAGTAGTGTTTAAGGGTTTAGTTTATATGAAATGCATTGGAGCGCAATCTTTTATAACTTTTAAATATAATAAAACATTTTTTTCAATGCCAAACAACTGGAATTTTAAGCTTTTCCGTTGAAAGTAAATATCACTTTTTGTGCTCTATCGCCATGTGCATTACTTGAAATATCACTGCATAAATCCGTATCACCCCAAAGTTTTTGTGCTTAAATAAATTACGTTTTATAACAAGTAAGATTTAATTACAAATTAAAAATGCAGAATGCTGAAAAGGTTAATTTTTACATTTTTAATGTGTTGTGATGCGTATGCCATAATCATATTCATATACATATGTATGTTATGAGTGCGTTTTGAATGAAAGCAATGTAAAGATTTTTCTCACGACTTACCTTTAGCGAAAATTTGCAATGATATGACAGCCTTGGCCTCACCATGACAATTGCTCGCTATGACTGAGTAAGTGCCGGTGAAGTCCAGCTTGGCACTAGGTATTTCCAGGCGGTATTCCGGACCGTCGCCTATAGGTCGGAAGTGCGGTGCGTCCTTATAATATTCCGGCTGTAAAGAAAAATACATACATATACATACGTGCACAAATACAAGCGTGAACAACATAAACGAACTTTTTTAGAGTTCACATATTTTATCATCTAAAACTAATATCAAAAATTTGCTTATTTTATTGTAAAATGTACTAAAAAGAAAATTTCCAGTAATATATGCTCCATGTGCATATAAACTGCACTCTAATACCTACAGTTTCAATACAATAAGATTCACTTCAAGGTCAGCAAAGCACACACTGACGCCCAGTAAGAGTATAACATTTTAATAGCATGTATTACAGCTATAGGCATATAAATAATACACATTTGCAGGTTCGATTTACTTTTTCGTTTTAATCTAGTTAAAATGTATTTACTCTCAACAATCATGTACTATCATGAGCACGTCGATATTACAGTATGGAAATACAATATTACAGCTATAGCATCTAAAATCATGATTGACAGGAGTTCAAAACCCCCATTGACTCTTTCCCGGTAATTAATACGCTATAAAATTATCATCTCTCGATTTGAAAACGGTAGATTTGAAAACAGTTTCCAAGAATTTTCAAACAGATTTTGATAGCCGGAGTGCAGAGAATTTTGCAAATATGGTAAATGAAATTGCTATAACTTTTAGTGAGTGTCAAGCAGCATTTGGGGAGACTAATAATTCGAATAGCACGGTTGTTATTGTAACGGTAGAAAACTTTACCAAGTAATTTTTTAGAATGTTCTCGAGTTGACAGTTCTTAATTCATTATGCAAAACTTGATGCAAAAAAAAAACTTTCAATACGAAAAAAAGAAACACGTGTTGAACTATCTACTTGTAATAGAATTCTCAGAAATATGGCATTTCTGGAATATTGCACTAGAAATATTGAAGATATGACCTGAAATTTGGAAAACTTTTAAATGCTTGAGGTTTTTGATAACGTCCGTAGTAAAAAATAAATGGAAACCATTTGACCATTTTCTACCCTTCGAAATCAAAACAACAATATGGATATTCTTGTGTTTGAGATTGCAATTGTTAGCTTGTATGTTATTTTAGGCACCACCATGACCGCCGCAAAATCATCTCAGTGAAAAGAGGTCTGGATAATGTCTTTCGAGGATGAGATACCATTTAAAAACACATGATTTTCTTAAAAAATTTTGACATTTAATTTTGAAGGAATAACTTTGAAGGATTTGATTTTATAAATATCTGTACAGACAATCTTTATACTATATACTTCTAGACCGATTTTAATAAAGTTTTGCACGAAAGATAGGATAGTTTATATCTCAATTTGCAGTGCAATATTTTTGTTTGTGACACCTTAAACCACAGAGCTATATACATACATATGTATGTATATCAAATTGATCGGGATGATGAGACTATTTGATATTTTTTCCCCTCTATCCATTCGCCTGAGCCCGCCTATCCATCCAATTGATACTTTTAGTAAAAATCAAGATATTGATACTCGTGTTCTTTGGCTTTTTCGGACCATTGCAAAACCAATACAATGTCGTTAAGCGAAAAAATAATGCCCAAAATGAATCTGTGGTTAAAATTTTTAGGAAAGGGAATGTGGCCTCGCCCCCTTATTAGTTTTATACATATGTACATATGTATATCGCACAAACTGTTTGAAAATATTTTTCCAATGGGCCACTATACTTTATAATACATACTAGCTTTTACCCGCGGCTTCGCTCGCATCGAATCCATATTTGTGTTATTTCTCTGATTTACGTATTTTATACATTTATGTTTTCTTTCATTTTTAATTTTTTCGACAAACAATCATTTCTGCCAAACTTTTTTTTTTCAATTTCAAAATTTTCAAATTTATTTTCCAAACATATATAATCTTCCAAAATAATTTTTTTAATAATCCGTAAAAAATTTACAAATTTTGTAATAAAAAGTATCCTATGTTCATTCTGACACCGCTAAGAGTATATGTACAAAATTTCATGATGATCTGTTAAGTAGTTTTTGCGTGAAAGCTTAACAAACAAACGGACTTTCGCATTTATAATATTAGTATAGAAGTATAGATTCACTTGTGGCAAAATCATCTAATATGGAATAGTAGAAAGTAGGTGTTACAGATACACATTAGAGAAATAATAATAACCACAAACTTTTATGTAACTACAACTTATATAAAGTGGTACATGATTTTTCTGCCCTGGATTCCAGTTTTTTCTCGAAACAAATTTCGAGACATTTCTGACTTTAAAAATAATATAATTATATTTTCTTTAGAGCTGTATTTCAAACAAAAATATTTAATTATTGTTATATATAATATATACAAACATATATGTATCGTAATGAATTAGCCTATCAACCCTTTTGGGTTTCGACCTCACGTATTAATCCCCATTAGGATTATCTGATAGGCGCCGCGCCTTCTTCAGCTTCGTACACCAAGTTTCTATCTAGTTGGTACACTGGCGCTCGCATAGAATACTTTTTTCAATACAGCGGAAACATCTGTCCTCACAATATGACCTAGCCAGCGCTGCCGTTGGATTCTTATTCGTATTCTTGCGAAGGACTTGTCTCTCGAACACTCCAAGTGGCAGCTCATTACTTTTTGACATCGTCCACGCTTCTGCGCCATACAGAAGCACGGATTCTATGAGAAAATTGTAGAGAGCAAATGTCAATGTCATGATAAGTCATGTCATTTACAGATCATCGTTTATTCGGATACGATGTCGCCGCCAACATACAAAGAATCGAAAATCTTGCGAAAGACTTTTCTTTCGAACACTTCAAGTATCAGCCAATTACTTTTTGACCTCGTTCAGGCTTCTGCGCCATACAAAAGCAAGGATTCTTGTAGATTGTACAGTGCCCTAATTGTCTACTGAGTCTGTAATATCAGCGATTCGTATTTATTATCCATAGCTGGAACTTCAGGCATTATAACAGTTGGTGCCAAAATACACGAAGTCCTTGATTGGTTCGAAAATATATTTCCCAGCTGCTAGCACCTTCTCTCACATTCATGCATCATTCCTGTCTTTACACACCTCGATCACCTCTCGCTCGTGCTTTTCTCTCACCCGCTTATCGCGTCTACTTATATTGTATACTCGTATGTATATTTAAAAGCGTGTGCTCTATTTATTCGACCATAGCTGTAAGTTTGTATCACAAGTTTCGTTTAGAATCTTAAAAAACTTCAAAAAATTAATCTTTACAACACCAAATGGCGAACATATCTCCGGTGTGCATCCAACGCAAACAGCACGGAATGTATGTATGTAAATACGTAGCAACTTACATAATATAATATACTACATATGTACATGCAACGAAGGCGGTGACAATAGTGACGACTGGAGCGCGGAACTGAATGGCGACAACAATTACGGTAATATGATATGAGATTTTAAGGTTTAAACAAAAACAAAACGAATAAAATGTGATAAATGAGAACAGTGGCGCATGCGCACTCCGAATAACAGCAATAATTATTAGACAAATATAAATAAACATACATAGAAGTAGATACGACTGCTACTGTGTACATAAGTGAGTAAAACATGCAGGGGGCATGCGCGCCACGCCAAATCAGTAAAAATTACGGCTGGACTGACACTGGGGCCAGCTCGGTACATATTTATTTCAACTCTCGATGTTTTTTATTTGAATATACATATGTATGTATATGTAGGAATGGTATGTTATATACACATGCATAGTAACTATAGATTTTAGCAATTTTTATACATATGTACTTGTATGTATGATGCAGTATTTTCGTGTGGCTTCAAGATTGCTGTGAGGCACAGTTGCAAGCAATTAATAAAAACTTTGCCACAGGAACAAAATGTTTTTGAGCTTTTGTAGACAGACAACTCGTTTTTATTGAACTTCACTTATATGGCGAATAGTTTATGTATTGTTAATTTTAGAAATACATACAATAGATATGCGCATGTGTAAGTAAGTATGAATACATCTATGTTTATGTTTATAGTAGAGTGAAAAAATCATATAATAATTATTTTTTTATTAGATCCTTTTATACGATTCTTTTACACACACTTATGTACACACATCTGTACATAAACACAAGAAAAAACGTTAATTTCGTTTGCACCGAAGCTATAATACCTTATAGCTTATATAAATACTTACAAAAGATTCCAGATCTTATCATTTACTTATATACATATACATATATTTTATAGTCTCTTACGCTTCCTTCTGGGTTTTACAAACTTAATGACATACTTAATATACCCTTTTCAGGGTATAAACATATACACTCCTATTTATCGGTATACATAAATGCGTATGTATATATATATGTACTATATATGTAAATATGTGTATATCAACTTAAATGAGAACTGTTTAGTATAATAAGTGATTTATGAGCTTTATTATTGAAAATAAATAAGAAAACATATGCCTTGGGGTATTTTGTAGAAAAGTGTTATATCTACAGCTTGTTAGTAAAGTAAAATCAGTCAAGCCAATTAGTTGCCATATCAGATTCCTTCTTAGAAAAAATATCACAATAAAATTGAATTTGATTTAATGATAAGGGCTGACTGCTGAAGGTTGATTAACTTAAAAAACGCTCGATCTTCCTATTCACTTTTGGCAAGTAATCTGCTAACCATAATCTCCAAAATTGGACCTATTGCAATGCATCGAACCAGAAGAAAACGTTAGAAAAACAATTTATCTAATGCAACACTATTTTTGGTGAAAAAATTCTGAATAATGAACGCAGTCAGCGTCCAAACGAGGCAGTTACCAACGATAAACATCTAAAAATTCCCAAAATAGTGTTGGATGACGCTGAATTGAAGTCAATAGGGATAAATATACTTAGTCTTGCCATACATTTTGTTACAAAGTTTATAGTGCTTATATGTATATAGCGAAGACAAATTCGCAGGAAAAAGTACAAACATATATTTTTTATTATAATTTTTATGCAGTGTCTACTTATATACTTGTACAATATAATAAACAGTTCAGTGTTTGCATTCGCTTATTAACAATGGAGTGAGAAGCTACAGGAAATTGTACTTTTTTACATAAGTGCAGAAAAACCGCAAGTAAAATTTATGAGCTTTTCAAAAACTTAATATTTCGTTGATGACAGAAATAGAAGGGGTCGTACTCGCATGGTTCGAACCAATTCAGCCATAAAAACTGATTTGATCGCATTCGCAGAAATCCCTTTAGAAAGCATAATATTATGTCAAGGAAAATGGATATATCGACCAGATCATTGTCAAGACTTATTCGAGATGATCTCCACATAAAAGCCTACCGTCCAGCAACTGGTATCTTCTGTCAACGCGCTTGAAGTAAATTAGTCTTAACAGATGCAAGCGGATTCTTCAGTGGCTGGCGAACAACGACCATGAAAGTAACCTTTTCACAGATGAACCATTTTTCGCTACTGAAGAAGTTTTTTAAAAGCATAACGACAAAATCTACGCAAAAACTTCCAAAGGTGAAAAAAATGTTATTTTAAAGGTTAAACGTGGTCACCATCCAACTGCTGTAAAGGTTTGTTGGGGAGTCTCCTGTAGAGGCGTTAGGTGTGGTAAAGTAGTTAAGCAATCCTCTTCGATGGAGAGCATTGAATCTTCCAGCAAGATTCTGCTACAGCACATAGGCAAACAACAGACAGCAGTGGCTTAAAAGCAATATTCCTGGTTTCATAGATTTGAATCGATTGGACTCCAGCTTGTGGTCAGAGAACACAACAGAAATTGGGAGAGTCTTAAAAAATATTTGCTTCGAGCAGTGTCAATACCAATAGAAACTGTGCCTGCTGCTATTGATCAATGGCCGAATCGTTTAGAGGTTTGTATGAAAGTAAAAAGTGACAAATTTTAATCAAATTTTGTACATCGCTCATTTAGTATATGCACTGTTCAACAAAATTAATTTTATTAAAAAATATATTATAGTTTAATATTTATAACAGACTGAACATGTAACGAACGTCTCGGACACATTGTTCATGATAAAATTAATATGCATAAGCGCTGTCCAAACTAGCTACCACGGGAACTCAAACATCGACAGATCCCCCGTATCACAAATCACTGAAAATTATGGTAAATTGAATGAATTGGACTTTACTTGCTAATCCATTCACCGTATTCTCAGGATCGATCCGCAATCGTCGAACCTTAAAGGTATGGAAATAAATTACAAAAATGCTAGTAAACCAACCGTGGGGTTGGAAGGTCTCTATACTCGGTATTTTCCTAAAGCCAAGTCGATGACACTCAAATTTCATCAGAAAATTTTCAGCCTATCTTGCATCCATTCTTACAATTATATGTATCAGCTCAGCTCGTGCTTTCACCATTTAATTAGACTACAGGGAGGCTAGACGTTGGCCACGACCGGGGTTTCCGAAAAACGTCAAAAAAGTTGTTTTGTAATAGTGGTTGACCCTGGGCAGATCATACCAAATCCAATATCTGCGACTTATTCGTGCCATGCAACGCTTTTAATAAAATCGATCGAACCCACAAAGCCACCTTTAATCCTATAGGATCATCAGTTGCAAGTTTTCACAAACCGATAATTCTACAATATTTGCCGTATTTTCTGACCCGTCACTGGACGAAATTCTCAAAAGAAAATGGGCTGTCTCGGACATGTTCTGAGACGAGATCCAACAACAAACACCCGGAACACTATCGACTGGAATACACAAGGCAGTCGGAATACAGGCCAGTCCCCTCTAACTGGGAGAAGGAATTTAGAGATCGAAATATCTAAGGTCCAAAAAAGTTGGTGTCAAATCCTGAGGCTAGCAAGAGAACGACATAAATGAGAGAGTCTTATTGTGGTCCTCTTCTTCTCCGCAATAGATATACATATAAACAGGTACATGATATGACTATCTATTTACTTATATCCATCTAGAAATAGTAATTACCTGCACTGAATACCGCTAAATTTAATGAAATTCCAAGATCACGAATCAGCTTTCACAAATCAAATTTGTTCACTGTTTTAAACACTTTGCATTTGCTTACGCGCACAGATTGAATATTTAAAAAGGATAACAATCAAACACACACAAATCTCTTACACACGCAAAGCAACTGTAAAACTGTATAATCATTGAGTTTCTTGTCTCCGACTGTTGCAGTTTACGCACGTCTTAACGGCGTGAAAGTTTCAACAGTAATGCCAGTGCAGAACCACACAATATTCGCGTCGAACCGATCACAGGCAGTCCGAACGCCTTCTATGAAGTACTTCGAATCTAAAAAATTGTTTTCAAGAACTTTTTTCCGCAAAAATAATTTTTGCTTTCTTATTCTAGGCCACACACGTGCAGCCAGCAGTTGAACCATTTGCGGGCGCACTATGTGACGTAGAAACGCTCCACCACCCAAACAGCAACACGGACGTATACACACGCACGCACGCACAAGCAGAACACGAAATTAATTTATTGCTGCAATTGGAACTGACAAACGGAGGCTGTTGGATGCAGTTCACTGAATCTTGGCGTAGGGGCGTTTTACCGTTACATTGTGTTTCTTTTTTTCACAATTTCAGCTTGTCACATTTATTAAATGTTTTTATGAAAACATGTATATTCTTAGTCACATACACACACCCATGCACAAGCATATATGTTAAGTTTTTAGACTAGTAGGAGCGCGCACGTTCAACCCACATTTGCTTTCGTAGCACTCAAGTGCTGAACTAAATCGAATTTGGAAGCTTATAGCAAACCGCGCTCACCTGTCGCACTTCGTTTGATTCGTGCTTTTAGCGTGTATTGTATTGACAATGCGCCCATTAACGTCACGAATGCGACTCTAACGAGATTCTGCCATTTTAATGACTGCTAAAGTGATTCATTGCGCTGCCGACGCTTTTGTTGCAAAACGTTTGGTAACACAAGTGCAAGGGGGCTACGAAGATCAATCAGCTGTTGTTTTGTATTGCGTAAACGGTTTTGTACTATATTTACTATTTCGACAACACGCACTAAATCATTCTAAAGGGTGTCTCATTTGAACTGATCAGATTTATTAATGACCCATAGACATCTTAACCTTAAAGGTAGATACTAGTTATAGTAATTATATAATATATAATACATCGCCGCTTCAGGTCGTGAGCTACGAATATTTTCGATTCTGTCCTCTCATTAAATTCAAATATTATGGCAAATAATTTACTTATGAAGGCAAGAATATAATATAATTTCTTATATACTTTAATGGTGTTGTGCTTGTACTTTTGATGGAGCGAGAGAAACTATTTGGTTTTAGTTTTAACATATTTTATCGTTATATGCTCGCAAAAACAAAACAGCTTATTGCGAAAGTAAATTTTGCAATAAAAGTATTATGTAACGTCAAATTATACAATGCATCTTTTTGCAATGTTGTGTGATGTTGCATACCGACGATATATGTATACATACATAAATAATGTAGTCATACTGAATGGATACTTTGCAGTAGTACGTTTTCGAAGAGAGGAAACAGGCAAAAAAGCTGTCATTTGTTTCATGACCATACATTTCTACGAAGCATTCCATAAAGCAATACGAAGCAAAAGAATTTTTCAATTATTTAATGCCTTTTGACTGGTAGTTAGGGGCATCTCACATACTACTAAGAATTGATAGCGGTCAGAGTACAGTAAGACTCTGCCTAACGCGTAGGATACGTTCCATCAAAGTAGAGCGTAAGTCGAAACAGCGCTAAACGAGGCTATCTTAATATCTAAATAATGTGGTTAAGGGAAGATGGATAGACAATTGGTTAGGTATTAAATTTAATATTTATGTTTAAAAAAAAATGTAACCAAACAATTATTTCTTACACAAATTAAAGCAATATAAACGAATATACTTATTAAAACAAATAAAATTCTAAATCAGTCAAATCATTCAGTCTATTTTGTGTTTCAAAATTTCTGCCTTATTTTCAAGAAGACATCTAAACATGGTTGCGTTTCCTTTTTTTGTTTTATTAGAAATAGATAAGTGTACTCCTGTCAAAATTTTGATAATTTTCAATAAAGTGGTCCTTTATTTCAGTTATAGTGGTCAAACTCCTTTTTAAAAACGCCATCGAAAGTTCCTTTTGCTCTTCTTCGAAATCACTACTGCCAATATTTTGTTTTCTTCCTGCTTAGCTAATTATTTGAGCTCATCATTAGAAAGGCTAGCTGGTTTATGTTTTCTACAGTATTCATGACATTGTACAATAGTTTGTTCAAACTTCTCTTATTGATTGTTCCTTTTCTCCGTCTATTTTTTTAAACATCTTCTACAATGTTCACCTCAAGTAATAAGCCCTCAGGTTAAAATAAAAAAAGCGCTAAACCGAAACAGCGTTAAGCGGGGTATTACTGTAAATAGGTTTGTTCACCTAAGGGTTATTTGTATCACCTAAAACTAATCGAGATAGATATGCGTAAACTGAGAAAAAATGGAGATATCTTACTGCAACTTGGTACGCATGTTTCTTGGTACCATAAGAAAGTTGGTATTGCAGACGGGAAAACTACTAAAAGTGTGATAACTCAATAAATATAAACGTCAGATGATAAAAAAAGCTTTATAGGAATCGGTATCAAAATTGGACAATGGGCGTGCCAGTGCCCATCTTTGGGTGAAAGCCTATAACTCGGGACAAAAATTGTGTAGTCCCCAGATACCGAATATGGGGACCCGAGTGCTTATTGCCAACTTTCTACCGAACATATCTGTTAAAGTCTGAGTTGTATTATAGAAACTCGGATATGTCTGTTTGTCTAAAATGGGTTGAATCGGGACAGTACTTCCCTTAGCAACCATATACCTAATATAAAAATTTTCTAATTTCCTTTCCTCTAATTAAATGAAATTCAACTTACATTCAAGAAATCACGCAGCCATACAACTTCAGGCTTTGGATCGCCGACAACCTCACAGAATATTATTACTGTGTCACCTTCATATGCCTCACTAGAACGTGGTTTGACGATAAACATGGGTTCCTTGGAGTACCTAAAATTTCAGAAATTTTAAAAAGAATATTTTATATATATTGTGTAACTTACGGTGAATCACTTTTTACAATAGACGGTATCTGGCTATTACCGCGTTGTCTTTGCTGCTGTTGTTCTTCATCGAGCTCTTCTATGACCACGCGGCAGTTACTTTCTACCTTGCCGACAGCATTTGAAGCGACGCAAACATAAATACCGGCGTCGTGTATGGTCGCGTCTGCAATTATTAATTCAACAAAACCGTTATAATCTAGAGATGCACCTATGCGTCTGCTGGGACGCAAGCGTACGCCATTGCGATGCCATGAAACTCCCACGGCGGGATAGGCTTCTACTTTAGCGGTAAGCCGTATATCTTGCCCCTCTTGGTATATATACAATGGGTCCAGCGGCATATAGAACTCGGGCGATATGTAAGCTCGTATACCTTTATCGACGACAAGTGAACAGTGGCATGATACCGAACCAAGTTCATTTTTAGCGGAGCAAGTATAAATTCCACTATCATCTAGTACGGTGCTAGCCAATTCAAGTGTATGAAACTGACCATCGTTCGTGATAAGGCAACGACGATTCTCTACGATTCGCTGGTCGTCTTTGTACCACATAATTTCTGTTATGGGATGACCCAGTACCTGGCAAGTCAAACGCACAGGGTAGGTCATTTGCACCCGTCGATCTCGCAGGCGCATTGTGAATATTGGTAAGGTGTCACCAGCATGAGCACCATCGGCGGAGTAAACGATTTGCTTTAGTTTCGTATCGGCTTCGTATAGTCGAGGATCGGTGACAACTTGTAAGCGTGCAAAAGTCGATACTCTACCCTTGGAGTTAGTTGCTTCGCAAGTATACCGACCTGCATCCAACTCAGAAACTGGTGCAATGATCAGCGTGCAAGTTGATCCAATCTGACGAATTCTGATACGCTCGGTTAGTGGACTAATATGCATGCCATCCTTATACCAATCAATTTGTGGACGTGGCGCACCACGTACCGTGCATTCCAATACAAGTTGCGTGCCCAGTAAGGCCTTTAACTGACCAGGTAGTATTTTAACGAACTCGGGCAAGCATTCAGCGCCTCCCACCTGAAGGGGACTACTTGTTTGCACCGAAGGACCCCAACCGTAACGATTTTTCGGGGTGACGCGGAAGTGATATTCAACATTAGGCTTCAAATTGAAGGCATCAAACGAATTTATAGGTGTCAGACCCAACTCTTTCCACATAGCACCACCTTCTGGGCCAACGACCCAAGCATCAATGCGATAGGCAATAACGGGCGCAGAATTGTCTCGAACTGGCTTACCCCATGAGAGGGAGATGTGTGACGGTCCAGAATCGACTACCAAAGGTTCCGTTGAGATCGCGGCTGGAGGATCTGCGCCGAGTTGAAATAAATAAATTTGATAAATGCTTAAATGTCATGTTATCTGAAAAATGAGACGGTAGTGATGACCTATCAACCAGGCGGCGTAAAATTGACATCACCTCGAAACCTAAAAAATCTGTTCGAACTCAATAAAACACCATGCAACTCCCCGGAGAAACATTTTTTTTTTTATTATTTATAATTGTTTTTGTATCTAAATGTATAAGCTGGATATGATGTAAACCATTTAAAATAAATTGATCACATTGAACAGGAAACGCATATAAATATTCTAATACAATCGTGATAAACTAATTGTAAGAAATAGAAGATCAATTTATCGACTAGGAATACCAAAGAAATTTTAATACACAGTTGTGAAACTAGAAATTTTCAAAAAGTTTGAACTTTAAACCGTTGGAAACAAATTCAAATCCATACAGCGCTTTTCGAAAATCTGCAAAACGCCAAAATTGAAGAAAAAGTTAAGAGAAAGTATAAAACTCGAAAACATTTAATTCGAACACCACAGATGGCGCAACAAAAACAATGGCTTAAAATATCGACAATTATGGTGTAGACGAACGAAATGATTTGCCAGGACACGATCACTACCACGGGGAATACAGTTACATAATTTATAAAATAAACTTTGGAAACTCACCTCTGAAATATGAAATGTCAGGGAAACTTTCGAGTCGCTGCCCCCAGCGTACTGATGTTGGCGTTTCGGAGCGTGCACGTGGCATTACCTATGTTTTTGAAATGGTGTACACACACACGGACATAAAAAAAGATAGGGAAATCAAAACAATCACTAACAGAAAAAAATTTGGGAAAATTGCAAAAAATAAATAAACAGCACGAAATACGCAACAAAAAAATCTAAAACAAATATAGCATCTCCATATTTAGAAGATTTAGTACTCAAGCAAAGCTTATTTGCTTTTTTTAGAGGACGTGGCGCGCCATTTAAGTGCTACTTTCTTTCCGTTTTGGAGCTTTAACCTACAATAAAAAAGTTAAGAAAGCGGGTAGCAGTTAGTGCTTGAAACAACTTATTTTATTAGAAGAGCAAGGCATAGCTAATGACGAACAATGTATTCCTAGCATTTTTTCCACTACTTCTTCCGGTCCAAGAGAGAGTTGATAAATATGGAGATGTGCATAAATGTAATATTTAGTTTGCTCTTGCTCTTCGTGGGATTTTATGGAGATTAGTTTATCAGTAATAAAAAAGCATTCGCTTGTAAGAAGGCTTTTAACATTTTGTGACTTACCGCAACGGTCACATATACACGATCTGTGCCGAAGTTATTACGCGCAACGACAAAGTAAGTACCAGAGTCTGCGATTTGTGAGCTTTGCACTGTGAACCTGGTGTAATCATCCGATACTTCCTTACTGACTCTATCGGATTTGGTAATATCCTTGGTACCCTTCAAGAAGGTCACTGAAAACACACAAGATAAATAATAAGACCAATGCAATTACAAATTATTCGGCTTCAGACACTCACATTTAGGTTTCGGTTCGCCCGCAATACGGAACGAAATGGAGAATGGATCGCCCACTAATATCTTCATTTCGGACTCTGGTCGCGATAAGAAGAGCGGTGGCCGTTCATTTTTCGGTGCACCGGCAGCAATATCGACACTTACGTGTGATTCAATGCGCCCGAAAGCATTCGAAGCGCGGCATGTGTAAGTGCCCTCCACTTCGGGTTGTGCATTCGGTATGGCCAATGTGTAGACACCACCTTCCATGAAGGTTTTTATGCCTGGTTGGCCAGCGACAGTTTGACGATTGCGTAACCATTGTACTTCCAAAGGGGTAGACGATTTCATGAATTCTGCAGAAATAGCAACCGTTCCTCCGGGACTCACTGTTTGGTTGCTCAACGGCACCACAAAGTGTGGCTTATTAGGATCACGGTGGAAGTAACCATGTGTCTTTTCAAGTGCGAACCGTTCACGTCCCACAAAATCGACTTGGTGGGTAATTTTATTTTCCGCAGCCTCGTTGCGTGCTACGCAGGCATAAAGACCGGAATCCTTTTCCGTTGGATTATTAATTGTCAGTTTAGTATAGCCATCAGCAGAGTTAATAATGTTATAACGGTCGTCTTCGTTAAGCATATCCGAACCCTTCATCCATTGGATATCAGGGCGAGGTTTACCGCGTACACGACAATCCAACACCAATGTATTCTCATTAATGGAGTAAGTGTCTGTTGAGAATAATATGGGAATTAATAAAAAGTTGTGAATGATGCAACGAAACAGAAGGCAATCAAACTCAGATATATTTATGTTTATAAAGCATTACAGTTATTACGAATATTACATTATAAGAAGAGGAAACTCGCAAATGAGTGAATTCAGTTTATATATTTTGTAGTGAAAATTTTCAGTTAGTGGTTCCATTCGTTTAAGAAAAAAGATTAAATCATACAATCAAACTAAACAAAAAACCTCTTGACTTCGCACTGAATTTGATTGCCACCTTCTTTTTCCTGAATTTGTTAGAAAAAAACACAAGAACAATTAATCACCGATCACGACAAGCAATATATTGGTATTAGAACTATGATTTTAAAAATTAACCTGAATTATAAAATTTCTTTAAATCTCCTAAAAACGATAAGATTAATAAATTTATGACTTTTGAACTCATTCTACCACAATGTCACACCTCTGATTGATTGTACAAACGCGGAAGGTTGTACAGCGTCCTCGTAATGTTTGTAGACTCTCAGTTGTGCGTGGGTGAATGTTTCACCATAGTCGTTAATGGCATGGCACGTGTAGTTTCCGCTGTCTTCAATGCTCGTTGCAGCAATATCCAACGAGGCAATACCATTACGCAAAACGGTCAGATATTGACCGTCATTGGGTAGTGGACGATGATTCTTCAACCACTCAATGCGTGTGTCCCCATCACAGACTACATTACAGCTTAGTCGTATGCTAGAGCCCTCAGCGACCGTCCGATCGTGCAATAGAGTGCTGAATAAGGGTTTACTATGTGAAATCATTCCCAATGGGCGCAGCTCTCGAGTACGTTTGATAACTTCTTCGGTAGTGAAGTGCGATGATGCTTCACCATTACTCATCATTTCGTAAAGCGTCTGCGATGAGCGTCTCATATGTGGTACATACTCACCGTTAGTTGTAATTTCTACGTTCGCAGTCATCAACTGTTTAAGATCGCCCGTGCGTATGGATTTACTAATAGCGTGGATGTGGTCATTGGTTTCAGCGAAGCAAGCAAATATGCCACAATCCGACGGGATCGGATTGCGTATGATCAGTTTGCGTATACCGCCCACTTCTTCTGTGGATTTGTAGCGATTGTTGGAAATAGTGTGATCATCGCGAAGCCATGTAACATTCGGACGACCGTGCACTTGACAAGTGAGTGTGATTTCGTTGCGATTCGCATTATAATATTCTAAAATAAAATTCGCAAATGTACCATATATACATACATAAAAGAGTTATTGAATTTAGTTCTTGTGGGCATCTATGCCTACATAAATATTAATTTTTTTAAAACTACAATACTTTTAAATTTTTACCTTTGATATTGTCCGCAAAACTACTCGGCAGCTTGCCGGCTGTCTGCTCGTAGACCGTCAAATCACAGCAGCTTTCAATGGTGTTTTTGTTATTACGCACCACACACTTGTACGACCCCGTATCGTCGGTTCTGGCGTTGTGTATCTCCAAACTGATGGCGCCGTTGATATTATATATTTTGTGTCGCGTGTCCTTCGTCACGCGTTCCTTACCACGCAACCAATAAACGTCCTCGATGTAACCACTCACATAAAATATGAGCTGCACTTTATTGCCTTCAGCTATCGACATTGGCTTCATTGTCGTTTCAGCGGTCAATTTGAGTTTCTCATCCTTTACCTTGGACTTCAACTGCTCACTGGCCTCACCCTCATTTTGGTGGGTTGCAGCAGTTGGCTCCTGTTCTTGTACAACCTTCTGAAGAGTTCGCTTCTGGGTTAATTTTTGCACATAATCGGATATATCCAAAAATTTGCTTATCTTCATTTGTCCACTGTCATTCTCCGCATAGCATGTATATAGCCCGGTATCAGTCTTAACTGGCTCTGTGATGAATAATTGTATGACACCGTCACCTAATTCCACATATTTGTACTTATTACTATCCAATGGCAGCAAAGTATTGTCCTTTTGCCAAAAAATTTGCGGTTTTGGATTCCCGGATACCTTACATTCGAGTGTGATCTCATTCTGATCTTTATGGTATGAATCTATGAAATAGGGTAACAATGCGAACACAAATAATATATATAGGTGCATAAAAAGATATAATAGTTAAGCTCTGGCTATTTTCCTATACCCTACCTATGTTCAATGCGTTAGTTGCAGTAGTGTTAGTTTTAGTATTTACCGAAATACCTTTACATGATAGCGTACCTGTCCCTCTCCGAATAACCCACTGGACGAACAGTTCCAAAATTCACGACATAAATTTCTAACATAATTTTTTTGCTTTACCTTTAATGCCCACTGTGAAAACAGGAGCTACTACCTCCTCTTTACCAGTAGTGTAGACAAAAAGTTGGCAAGTGCTAACAACTTCATTTTCTGAACCCTTCACACGCAACGTATATTCACCAGCCTCCTCCTCGGAAACGCCTATTAAATTCAGCCATGCGATTCCATCCTGGCAAGACATTTTACTCTTGGGTCCGAAAGCAATTGGTTGCTCGCCGTGGAACCAACGGGCAGTCGGTTCAGGTCCATCGATATTGACCATCCACTTGACGTTACTGCCAGCCTTAACAGTGCGATTAGATAGGAAGTTTCTAAGGTACAGATATTTCTTTAGATCCGGTGGTGGTGGTGCCTCACGCCTTCCACTACCTTCCTCTTCTTCCTTGGCTTTCTTCTTCTTTTTCTTCTCATCCTTATCTTCACCTTCTATCTCTTCTTCCTCTGTTGTTGGCTTGACTGGTGGTCTGGCCTCTTTGGATGGTGAAATCGGTCGCCTACGTCTAGGCTCCACCGTCACAATATGACTAATTTCAGTTTTTCCTTCACGATTTTCCGCTTGGCAAACATATTTACCACTATCAGCCGGCACTGGGTCTATAATGAACAGCTCACAAAGGCCATCATCATGGTCGATTTGCTGATACTTTTCGCTCGATTCGACTTTAACTCCATCCTTAACCCAAGTAACGGATGGTGTGGGTAGACCACGCACATGCACATCTAGTTGCAATTCATGTATTTTGCCATGATAGGTGTCTTTAATGTTACGTGTAAATGTGGGTGGCACATCACCCGTACCTGGATCTGCATAAACCTCCAATTTGCAGAATGTAGAAGCTTCGCCGGTTTCATCGCGCGCCCAACACTTGTACACACCGCTATCTTCAACCGTAGCACTAGCAATATCCAATAGACACAAACCTTCACTGTGACGACCCCTAATCTTTGGACTATTAGCGATAGGTTCATCATTCTTAAACCACTTGACTTGTGGTTCCTTTGACTCCAAGAAACATGATATTTTCACTTTGGAACCTTCAGCCACAACACGATCCCTAACCGATGTAGCAAAATGTATGCCGATAACTTTTTCTCGTTTCTTAAGGCTTCCAGTATCTGAAGCAATTTCAGTTGCAGATGAAGTTGTTTCCTCCTCCTCTTTCTTAGCTTTTTTAGCCTTAGCCTTCGATTTCCCTTTGCCATCTTTATCTTCTGCATCACTTTCGGCCACCTCAGCCTTTGAGGGGACTGCCTTCTCGTCCTCCACAGTCTTGGCACGTAATAAACTCTTATCGGCATGGAATACACCATGAATATTCTCAGCGATATGAGACGCTTTACCCTCAAACAATACAGTGTGTGTAATCTCTGATTTACCAGCACTATTCTCTGCCCGTACTAAATACTTGCCGCAATCTTTTGCATCTGGTCTATCAATAATCAACTCACAAGTACCATCTTGATGTTGTAATATTTGGTAACGTCCACCGTTTTTTATTTCGAAGTTATCCTTCGACCATTGCACTTGTGGTGTTGGTTGGCCACGTACTCCCGTCTCCAAAACGAGTTCATTTGTATTGAGATGATAAATTTCTAATTTTGAACAAAACAATAAATTATTATGTAACCCACTCTTTTTCTAAAGATTACGAAATCATTGGCAATGAAATATGTTAATATACGCTTACTCGTGCCCCACTAATCGCAGATGTATGTACATAGACGTATAAGGTATGTACTGCATAGGTACTTACCTTTCAGTGAACGTGTGAACATTGGTTGTACGTCGGAGCTAACCTTCGGTGAGTATACATGCAACAAGGCCGAGGTTGTAATTTTGCAGAATTCATTTTGTGCCGTCAACGTGTAAACACCCGAGTCTTCAGCTGAGGTATTGAGGAACTCTAAGCAAGCCATTCCTTCCCGGCTCATATTACGGATACGTGGACCATAAGTAACATTCTGTTCATCCTTCTGCCATTTGAATGTGGCATCAGGACCGCCCACAACCGCCTGAAATTTGACTTTGGAACCTTCAGCTACATACCGATTCGAAAGATTCGCAATAAAATACAATTGTGTTTTTGGTGAGGGGTCGGGCATACGACTGCGACGCTCATATGTGCCAGCCTCGGCCTCATCGTCCTGCTTCTTGCTTTTCGGAGGGCGACTACCCTTCTCGACCTTTTTACCACTCGCATCTCCAGTACCAGCTTCACTATCGGATTCGGTCATTACGCCAGACAATAAACTTGAACGTCGCGATGATTGCACAACTTCTACTACAACTGTGTGTGTAGTCTTCTGACTGCCCAATTTATTTTCAGCAATGCAAGTGTACACACCACTATCACTCGACGTTGGCTTGTTAATGATCAGCTCACAAACGCCATCCAAATGTTCAATCTGTACCCGACGATCATCGAGTACTACTGGTAGATTGTCCTTTACCCATGTAATCTTGGGGCGGGGGTTACCGCGCACTTTCGTATCAATAATTAAATCATTCTGGGACGAATGATATACATCTGTGGAGACGAACAGAAATACATCAAAGCGTTGCACCGCATTCAAAAGAGACAAATAGATGCTGGCACACAAAGAATACACAACAATTTCACACACAATGCAACACTTGCCGTGAGAATGTGAAAAGTATTATTGTATGTATTTTAAGAATGAACACCTCGACCCCAATCGGTTGTTTCAAAGATTTGAATAAACGACTATACAAATGTAGTTTGATAAGACAGTTCGATTCTTTACCTACAAACAAAACATGAAAAACAGCACGCGAAAATTTTTCGAGAGAATGTGATTCCCGAATATGGTGAGTGATGGGGATAACACAAATCCAACACTAATCTTTATGAATACACTCGAGTTAGTATTTGCTCTTCTCATACCTCTTAGTGGTAGAGCGAAGATCGGCTCTTGTTCGTCGCCATCAGCTTGGGCACTATACACTTTGAAGTAGCATTGCGTCTCGATTTCACAGTAATCGTTTTTGGCCACACACTTGTAAACACCCGATGCTTCGGACGTAACCTTGCTCACCTCAAGAATTGCTTTTCCTTCCTCCGACAGATTTTTGACTGTTGGCCCAGCCACAACCCATTTGTCATCTTTCATCCAGCGGCAATTGGGGCTAGGTCCAATTACGGTGCACACAAAACGTACAGTGCTGCCTTCCAGAGCCATACGATCGCGTAATTGCGTAGCGAACTTGAGTTTTTGTTTTGGAGATACCAATGGCTCGGGTGAAGCGCGGTGTACACGTTCTTTAGCTTCCGCTTCTGTAGATGTACGCTTGCGATCGGATGCAGCTTTTGACTGAAGAGCTTCCTCCATAGCCTTCTTCGCTGCCAACTCTTTATCTTTTTGCAAACGATCACGTGCGTGGAAGATACCGCGTGCATGGAAGTGTCTATTCTTGGCAACTTCCACGTGATGACTAATTTTGACTTCACCACTGGAGTTGGCTGCCTTGCAAATATAAGTACCATTATCCTTGTCGTTTGGTTTGTAAATAAGTAGTTTGTAGATGCCGTGCGCTTCTTCAAGCATGGTAAATTTGAAGCTTGGCTTAACATCAAGTCCACCTTTCGTCCAAACGACAGCTGGACGTGGTACACCATGTAGATGGCATTCGATAGTTAGTTCATCGTCACGCAAGTGATAGTATTCTGTAAACGAAACCCTGAAACTTCACTCTTATCCATATTGAAATTGCTGTTTTTTTCCTTACCTTTGACTAGCTTGCAAGATGGTGGTGCTGGCTCGTCTTTGAATACTTCATAAATAGTCACATAGCATGACGAAGTGACGGTGTCATTGGAATTCGCCACCATACAGGAGTACTCGCCGGAATCTAATATCGTCGTATTGACTACTTCTAATGCTAAAATGTTATTGTTGTTAATAATGCGATGTGTTGCATCACGCTCCAACTGTCGGCCATCTTTGAACCATTTCACTGACAACTCGGGTCCTCCAACAGCACAAGAAATACGGACATTATGGCCTGCTTCAACAGTACGATCCGTAAGGAAGACAATGAAGTGAGGCAAGCGAGCTTGCTCCCTTATACGTTGCCATTCAGCATCACGTTCCTTCTCGCTTTTATGAATACGCATACTGTATTTCCGCATTTGTTGCATAAACTCTTCACCCTCCTCCTCGGCGATACGTTTCCAGCGTTCCTCATCATAAGGATTAGGTCGTGTAAACTCTTCAGATGAATTACTGCCACGTCGCTTTTTAGATTTCGGAAGTTCGGGTACCACATCCGCATCTTCAGCTTCCTCATCTTCATCACGTAATTCGCTACCAGCTTCATCGGCGTAGTCGCCTCCATATGACTCTGTACCGGCGAAGGATTCGTCACCAGCATCCTCTTCTTCTTCATCACCCTCTTCGTCTTGCTCCTCTGTTTCATCCTCATCACCCTGTTCGGCCTCTTTTTGGGCACGTAATGCAGCTTGTAACTCTGCTTCAATTCGCTCCTGTTCCTCCTTCTCTTTCTTCAAGCGTTCTTGTCGCTCCGCAAAGGTCTCTCCCTTAGGCTTGGCAGCTGCTTTAGCTGCTTCTTCTTCTGCTGCTTTAGCCGCCTGTCTGGCCTGCTCTTCCATTTGCAAAACAAGTTTGCTCTTTTTTGGTGGTGGCTTCGGCGCAAGATCTTTTGCCTCCTGTTGCTTTTGTTGCTCCTCGAACATCTTTTTGCTTGCCTTTTGACCACCGCCCATTTCTAATTTCAAGGTCAACTTTGGGCTCGGTGATTTCTCCTTCTTTTCCTTCTTTTTGGGTGCAGCCTTCTTTTTCGTCTTTTTTACAGGCTCATCCAAATCATCTGGTTCAATGCTCTCTTCGCGATCGGTACTAGCTCTGTCACCAGGATCACCTTCAGTATCTGACGTAGCTCCAGATGCTGATGCATCCTTTTCGATACTTTTGCGTGGTGTGCGAGCCTTTTTACCTTTGCCTTTCTTCTTAGGTTTCACTTCTTCAATGATTTCCTCCTCCTCTTCCACCTCTTCATATTCCTCGATCAAGTATATAACCTCAACATTCGATACATCCATTACGGCAGCACGATCAATCACAGACATATCGGTCGTTATGTAACGCACAGGTTTTTGAATTTCCTCGCTCTCTGTAATATCCATAATCAATGCTCGATCGAAAACAGCTTTATTGCAAGTTATTTGAGTTTTAATGTCCTTGCCAAGCTCGAACGGAGTTTTTTCTCTTTCCTCGCGTTTTAGGAAAGGAGTAATGCTGCGCCATGTGGAAGGTGTAGCACTGCGACGGTTTAAGTACAAAGAGAATGGGGTCTGACTCCTGCCACGTATCGGGGTAGCACTGCGACCGCGCAGCGTACCGGGAGTAGGCGATTTCACTTTCCTACGTTTCTGTACCGGAACCGCTAACGTATCCTGCACGGGAGTCGACTCGGGCTCCTCAGAGGCTCGCGTATCGGCTGCACCGACTTCACCTTCTGTCTCTCCCATCGTTTCGAGAACTTTTTTTATCGATCAAGGATCAAACAAACGGTTATAAATAATGTAGCGTGTCGACGTTTGTTGAACAAACAAACAAAATATTTCGATTTATGAAAAAATGTTTAACTTTTCGAACTAGTCAACGGTTAATTAAGCTCAAAAATTATATACATATATTATTTTCGGTTATATTCTAACGTAACGGATCGATTGGGAGAGAGCGTTCGAATCCGTTCGAATAGAAATTTTAACTATAACTAAATTAGAAGCGCCGAACAAATTTGAAAAGATTTTCGCCTTTGTCGAAATTCAACGACGATAAACAGCGATAAACGAAGATTAAAGACGACACTTTTTTTCGCAGCAACGATAGTCGAAGGAAAGCACCAACCAACTGTAGTACTCAAATATTGGCCACGAAAAATCGATCGATCCGTCGGCGAAGAATTTACGAATGAACTGCAACAATTGCCAATATTCTAAATTTAACCAATTGTCATAGATTCACGCGTTATTTATTTTTATTTTTCGCTTACGTTTAATTCAATTGCAATTATGTAAACAGCCACGGAAGATGCAAGGCTGTGTGGGCGGAGAGCGGTGGAAAACGTTGCTGCGAGGGAAGCGTATTAACTACGGCGCGCTATTTTAAGTGAGTTATTTTCTGTCTGCGGTTGGCTTGCGAAACAAGAAAAAGACAAGAAAACAAAACTTATCTTTTGCTGTTGCCACAATTTCAAAGCACTATACAAGTCTACTCGGCGATTACACTGGCACATAATTCGAAATTCAAATCAATTGATTTGAAAAAAAAGAAACCAAACTGGCAAATCACAACGACATGGCAGCGACAACGAACAGCAGCGGTATTTGCTGCGGCATTGAATCATGCCACGTGAAGTCGTTACTTCCCAATCATTTTCAAATTTATTCTACCATGTGACTATTATTTCGAATGGTTTGCAATAGTCACTGTTTAAATATAATATGTATATAATTTTATTTCAGTCACACAAATAATCACGAGACAACAAATAAATACTTACAATCAGTTCATTTACCTGGTACCCGAGGTTCAGTAGTTTCCCATTAAAACTGAATTTAGCTATTTTATTATTTTTATCTAAACGTTTCACAGAAACTTTTAAAGACAAAGCCATTCTCTGGAAGCTAAGCAAAGCAATACAGGAATCCATGCATAAAGTTTACCCATTTTATCAGCAAACTTAACCTTCCCGAATTAGTCAATTGGCTTAAAACGTGAAAGAAAGAAGTCACCAATTAAATTCATTAGCCAACAAGGATCTACATACATTGTGCACTGAAGTCAAATCGATCGACTGCAATGAAATTGTGTAGCGCACAAAATTTTCGTCACACTCCCGATATACATATATATAGAGCACCACCTTCTTAGTGATATTAATCCATTTGTTATTGTTCACTGCAATACTGAAACAGTTTTTAATCCAAAAACAAGAAAAACCGTTACCTGCACCGAAACTACAACACCCTAAAAACATACAAAAGATTGTTTATAAGGACTTAATTTTGATCGGTCATTTTGTATGGCAGCTATATGTCATAGTGGTTCGATCTGAAAAAAATTTGAGATTATACCGTTGCTTTGGGAAATGATCCATGCTAAATTTCGTGAAGATACCTTGCCAAATAAAATAAGTTTTCCATACAAGGACTGCATTTTCATCGATCAGTTTGATTGGCAGCTACCATAAATGCTATAGTGATCCGGTCTGAACGATTTATTCGGATATTGCATTATTGCCTATTGTCTAGGCCATGTCAAATTTCTTGAAGATATCTGGTCAAATGTAAAATCTACAAGCAATTGATTCCGATCGTTCAGTTTGTATGGCAGCTATATGCCATAGTGGTGCAGATTCTTGGGGAGAAAGGTCATGTACAAAATTTCACATCTATATCTCAAAAGTGAGGGACTAGTTCGGGTATATACAGACGGACATGGCTAAATCGACTCGACTCGTCATGCTGATCATTTATATATATGTACATTTATTTTATAGGGTCTCCGACGCTTCCTCCTGGGTGCTACGAGGGCTGCTATATAGCTGGCTGGCCTAGGCAACACTAAGTGTTGCCAGGTGTAATCTGACATTTCCATTGGAAAGTTTGACATTTTTTAGCATAACATCACTCAGAATATTTTGTCATTTAATCGTGAATTGTTTTATTTACAGGGAATTAAAAAATTCATCTCGGCCAAAGAATGGATAATTTTTCACAACTTTCGACGTGGATTATCACGACAAGATGATGGCTATGAAGCACCATCCTATAGTACTGTGAAAAACTAGTACAACGAATTCAATCGTGGCCGACGCTCGCTCAAAGACGAATTCCGTGAAGGTCGTCCAAAAACAGCCGTTGTGCCAGAAAACATCGATGCCGTACGTGAACTGATAATGCAAGACCGTCATGTAACATACCTTCAGATAGAGGCATGCCTATGCATTTCTCCCACCAGCATACATTCGATATTGCATGAACACCTGGCCGGATCTCGTTGGATCCCGCACAATTTGACAATCGCTCAAAAAAAGGCTCGTGTGGATTGGTGTAAAGAAATGCTGAAAAAATACGATCGCGGTGCTTCAAAAGACGTTTATAAGATCGTCACAGGTGACGAATCATGGATCTATGCATATTAGCCCGAAACAAAACAGCAATCGACCGAAAAAAAAACATTTTCGTTGATAAATATTCGTATATTCATTATTAGGCCAGAAATATATATAACAGCCCTCGTACAAAACTTCGTGACAAACTTAATACCCAATTCTGGGTATAAAAATAGAGACAGATCAGATTTGACAAGATTGTCGCGTATTCTGTTCATCTTCATATACAATCGTGTGTTCTAATCACCGACAGCGTCGCGCGAGTACGATGAATATTCGTCGTCGCTCGCATTGTGTTTGAGCTATTAATACTGATACTCTCATACTCCCTTGCTTCAATTCAACTCTATAACTTTGTTGTTGTTTTCACATGTAAATTTTTTCACAAGAGAACCAAAGCAAGCAGATAAATGACCAATCGAAGACAGCTAATATGAGCTTCAAACTCTCTATTATATTTCAGAATAATTATTGGTTAATTGGTAATATTTGGGGCAGAGTTGCCAATTGCTCTAACATTTATGTGTATAATAATACCAATAATCATACTTTTATAAATAGTAAAAAATGTATGTACAGAAATTAATTGAAATATCCAATCTGAATATATTTTCCTCATAAAGAGTTGAAATACATGTTGATGTAATTTAAGGAAACGATCTTATAAAATTCTATTTTCAACTGTTATAAAAATAGTTTAAAGCTAGATGAAAGCATATTCGACGATTGGAAACGAAATGTTATCTATAAGGATAGTACTATATGACTCGAAACTAACGGAATAAAAATCAAGTGTAAGGTGTTTTATTAATATTAATTAGTGCTTCGTTGTTAGTTCAGAAGAAAAACAAAATATATATATGTATGTATGCAAATAAGCGCATGCAATTTATTAAATAAATATATTAAATGCAATGTGCTAATACTTATATATGTTATCACAAGAATAAGCGTAACCAATAATTCATAAACAACCATGCACATGGAAAATATTTGTGAAAATAAAAGCACATACATAAACCGTTGAAACACCCAAAGTTCGATGAGACTAAATAACGGTAAACCGATTCGAATTAAATCGCGAAGCAATAAAGTTTTTTGCTACCTTCAACGAGCAACATCAATAAGAAAAAAAACGGTATACTTAACTAATCTAAAAAAAACCGAAAAATGAAGAAAGCAAAGCTCCTAGACAAATCAATGAATTTCAGTTTAAATTTAGAGAAGAAATCAAAGTAAATAATAAAAGAGCCAAGAAGAATTTCAGAAATGAAAAACAATTTGCATACCTCTTATGTTACGCGTAAATATTGGCGTGGTGCCAAATTTAGTTGTCGGTACATCGTAAACAGTTACAAGGCAGCTCGTTTCCACTTCTCCATTACGATTGGTGGCCACGCATCGGTAAACACCCGCATCGCCGGCGTCGACTGCTTTGATTTCCAAACAAGACAGTCCGTCGTTAAAGGTTTTGCGATATTTGTTGCCGTTCTCTACGAATGTTTTATCCCTGTACCAGTCGATTTTCAGTTCGGCACCGGAAATACTACATGTAAGCTTTATATCGCTTCCTACTGGTGAGTTTCTATTGGTCAGTTTTAGGTCAACATTTGGCGCACGTCTAGCGCTACGTGATTCCCGTTTATCCTTATACTCCGCCTGACGGGAGTTATCAACGTGCGTTTTTGATTGATCAGGCTGCTTTATACCGGCATCAGAAACATCTTTTCTGAGACGTCTATCTGCTGTTGGAGAAGTTGTCATATTTGGAACACCTAAGGTCTTTACGACGGACTCCGGGTGGGTTTTCACAACAACGTTATCTTCAAATTTTTTAACTTCATCGCTCTTTTCATTTATCTTCGGTTTTGCGTTTTTCTGATTCATTTCCTCAGTTGACTTTATCAGTGGAGTTTTATTTGCCTTTTCTTTGTCTAATTGTTCATCTATATTTTGAATTTCTTCAAACAGTTTTTCAGCGGACCCTTCAGAAGATTCTGATTCTTTAGCAACAACATTGAGTTCCTTAGACTTTTTATCATCATCTTTTTTTTCATCGCCTGGGCTCTTCCTTTTTTTTTGTTTCTTTGGTTTTTCATCCATCTGTTTATTATTTTTCTTAAATGTTTTTTCTACAGTCTCTGATTTGTTATCAATGATCTTGTGTATCTCGAAATTTTGCTCTCCCCCCGCGGTCATTTCAACCCCATCTTGCTTTTTTTCGTCTTTGACTTTCTCTTCTTGGGTTTGTTCAAGAGGGACTTGTTTTTCATTATCAATTTTAACTTTTTCAGACTTTTTATTGTCAACTTTTTGCTCAACGATATGGAGTTCCTCAAGTTTTTTGTCGTGATCTCTTTTTTCATCGTCCGAACTTTTCTTTCTCCTTTGTTTGTTAGATTTTTCATCTATCTGTTTATTATCTTTCTCAGCGGTTTTATCTCCAGTCTCTAATTTGCTGTCCACAACACTTAGTTGTTCTGATTTTTGCACTTTCTCCACCGTTAGTTCATTTATATCTTTTTTCTTTACGTCTTTGGTTTTTTCACTAGACATTTCTATAACTTGTTCAAGAAGTACTGGGTTTTCATTGTCAACTATGAGATCTTCAGACATCTTATCGTCAGCTTTCTTTTCTTCGCCAACACTTTTCTTCCTCTTTTCTATTTTTTGAATTTCTTCTTCCTTTTTAATTTCAACAGACTCTTGTCTTTTATCAACAAATTTGGGGTCCTTAGATTTTTGTTTTCTATACTTTTCATCGTCTCTATCTTTCATTATAGTTTTATCATTCGGTTTTTCTTCAACATTCTTGCCTTCATCTGCACTCTTTTTCCTTCTATCTTTTTCTGGTTTATCTTTCATCTCATTAAGTTTTTCAGTAAGATTTGAAGAAGGCTTTTCTAAAGCTTCTTTTTGTTCTTCATCATCTTTATCTTTGTTTTTTTCATTAGCAGCAACATTTTTCTTCCCATTGTCTTTGGGTTTTTCCACCAACGGTTTCTCAGTAGGTGTTTCCGCAGACTGTGGCGTTTTATCTGCAACCTTAAGCTCTGAAAAAATTTGTTCTTTACTCTTGTTGTTTTCCTCCCTTAATTTTTCTTCTGTCTGTTTGATTTCCTGAGGAGTCTTTTCAACCGGTTTCTTTCCAAACTCCAGTTCTTTTTCGGCAATCTTGGGACTCGCTGCTTTTTTCTCGTCGTTCTTATGATCTTCATTCCCGCTCTTCTTTTTGTTTTCTTTCTTTAATTTTTCTTCTGTTTCTTTAATTTTCTTAGTAGTCTTCTCAAGTTTTTCCATAAGCTCCAGGTTTGTTTCAGCATCTTTAAGTTCCTCGAAATCTTTCTCGTCATCATTTGGCTTGTTCAAATTCGCCTTTTCCTTTTCTTTCTTAAGCTTTTCTTCTGCATATTTAGTTCCTTCAATAGGTTTTTCAATGCATTCTTCAAACGTATTTAGTTTTTCGTCAAAAACTTTGAGTTCTTCAGATGCTCTCGAAACATCTTTTTTATCTGCGTCCACAACTACCTTCTTCTGTTTCTCTTTTATTTTTTCTTCTGCTTGTTTAATTTGATCAATAGGCTTCTCAGTAGATCTTTTCGTAGACTCTAACTTATCACTAACCACATGGAGAGATTTAGCATTTTTGTCACCTCTTCTTCTACTTTCTTCAGTTGGCTTTTCTTCTATTTTTTTAACTTCTTCAGAAAGTTTCTCAATAGATATATCTATAGGTTCTAGCTTACCACCCTTAAGATCTACAAATCGTTTCTCGACATTCTTTGACTGTGTTTCTTCTAATTCTTCAATTTCTTCAAAAGCCTTTTTGTGATGTATTTCTGCAGGATCTTGTTTTATTTTAATAACATCGGACTTATCGTCTATCTTCTTCATTTCATCCCTCAGCTTTTCATCTGTGATCTCACCACCACTTTCTTTTTTCGGTTTATCTTCACTTTGTTTAATTTCTTCCAAAGAATTCTCCTTCTCTTTGAATTCTTCAAGTATTTTTTCTTTTCTTGCACTACTCGTTTTCCTTTTAATATTTGGTTCCCTTTCTTTCTTCAATATCTCTTCAAAAAGTTTTTCAGTTGGTTTTTCAAATGGCTTTATCTTTGTATCGTCCACAATAGTCTCTGTTTTCTCTTCTTCTTCATTTTTATCGGTAATTTCTTGGATTGAATCAGTATCTTTACTTGGACCTTCCAATTTTTTGTTTCCATCATTTTCTGGTACTCTTTTCATAACATTCGAAGCATTCACATATTGAGCAATTTTTTCGCAAATACTGTGAACCCCTTCACAAAGTCTCACAGTATCTTTCAGAATTTTTTGGGTATCAATCACATCCACACACTTATCAATTGCGTTATGTTCACTCAAAGATAAATCCTTAATATTTTCGAAATCTTTACTAAATGACTTATCTGTAACGGCCTGTAGGTCATCATAAAAAATGAAAATGTCCATTAGATTCTTTTGGAGTGTGACAACTTTTTCCTTCGATTTTTGAATAGTGTTCGTATTCTTTATGTATTCCATACATGAAACAATGCTTACAAGAGTTAAGTTTGATGATGACAACTTCGAACGGAAATCGTAGTCATTTATACTATTAACTTTGATAGACGTATTCTCGACATATTCGACAATCTGGTTAAAGTATTGCAGCGAATCCAGGTTTACCGGGACTTCGGTTTCAGTCTTTGAAGGCTTTGTTGACTCTTCTTTGCTCTTGTTTTCAGCTATAATAACGGTTACTATTTCTACTACTGGTTCTGGCTCTCTAGCAATTATCAAACCTTTCGTAGGAGAAACTTCCGAGCCTTCTATACTTTCTCCCTCTGTGGCTTTGCGAAGTTCTGAACACGTTTTCAAGATTTTCGCCACCAAATCCGAAGTTTTTTGCAAAATATTTTCCGAATTTATGTGATTTTGACTATTTTCTATGAAGTCATATACAGCCAAGGCATTTATTTTAACCTCTTCGATTTTACATTTAGTATCCTTGTCGTTAATGTAATGTAAATCATCAAATGTTACAAAAATATCCATTAAAATATTTTGAAGAGTTACTATATCTTTTGAGGCTTTTTCAACCTGCTCAATATTTTTAATCGTTTCTGAAACGTTTCCAATGTTTGTTTTGAGAGATGTCAGTTTCCTGCTAAGTAATGGATGAGTTGCCGCTTTAGTTTGTTCTTCTAAACTCATAATATTTTGGATAATATTATTATAAAGTTCTTCCAGTTTAGAATAAACATTGTTCTGCGCGTCTTCGATAACAAGTTTCATATCACCTTCCTCGACTGCAATTTTTTCGTCCAGCTTTATATCTTGGGGTTTATTCGTGCAAATCCCTATTATAGATTGTTTTTCCAAATTTGATTCTAATTTCTTATCCTCCACAGCTTTGTTGTCTTTCTCATTTCTGATCGCCACTTTGGGTTGCTCAGACTCTTGCTCTTCCAAGTTTAACTTCCTTATCTCATCTTCAGACTTCACTTCTGCATGCTTTTCTTGTGATTTTTCTTCAACTGGTTTTTGCTGGGACACAACTTTTGCAAGTACTATCTCATCTAACGATTTTCCTATTACGGACTTTGGCAACTGCTTGGGTAGTAATTCAGTTGTATTTTCGTTGTCTGTCTCTTCAATCCCTAAAGTCGTACACACTTCTTTTTCGGCTTGCTCTTCAGGATTCTTCTCGGTTTTTTTTCCTTCCACCGACAGCTTCGTTTGGCGTTGTTCATCAACCGCAATCTTTTCATCAGGTTTTTTATCAGATAACGTGGACTCTGTGAATTCTTCTAGATCGATCTGTATTTTAGTTCCACGTACTATCTCTAGAATATTTTCTGTTACATTTTCTTTATTTTGTTGAAGCTCTATCTGTAGTACATTGGCTACTTCTAGGATACTACTGGATAGCTTATTTAAAAGTAGTAACACCCTTTCAGACTCCACATATTTTGTCGAGTTTTCAATATTATCGTACAATAGCAAAGCGGTCGTTTTCACTGCCTCTAAATTCGGCTTCAATTCTTTTGTTGCTATTTCGTGAAGATCGTCAAATATAACGAAGGTGTCCATTAATGACTTTTGAAGGCTAACAATTCTCTCTGCTGATTTCTCAAGCGACTGGACGTTTTTCAAATATTTCGCAACCAAAACAAATGTGCGCAATGTGGGAATAACTGGGTTCATTTTGCTGAGAGATGTCTGAAGTTGAGGTGTAGCTATTTTAAATGAAAAATTATCAACATTGCTGACAATATTTTCGAAATATTTCTGTAAATTTTTACTTAGTTCCTCTGAAAGCGTAGGTTCTGTAGGTTCATGTTGGTCAGTTGAAGTTGTTGTTGTAAACACAATTTCGGCAACAATTTCCTTCTGTACTTTTTGTACCTCAGTCACTTCAACTTCGCATTTCTTCTCAGGTTCCTTATTATACATAGCAGTGATTTTTCCAGCAGCTTGTGATGGTTCTGTTTCAAGTGTAACTTCAGTACAATCTTCCTTCATCTTTTCTATGCTTTCTTCCGAAGTCAGTTCTTTATTTTCAAGTTCTTCTAAAACTGCTTTCTTAAAATCAATGTTTGCTTCCTCTTGCTTTTCATTTGATAATTTTTCATGAGTTACTTCTTCGGCGATCTTTGTTTCAATTACATCTTCAATGGTATGCTTTGCATCCCCCTCCTTTACCATCTCTTGGCAAACATTTATAAGTAATTTTATTAAATTAGAAATACTAATCAAAACATTCTCAGAGCTCAGTGTACCCGTACTCTTCTCGATCGTTTCATACTCACTAAGAGCCAAACTTTTAACTTCTTCCAATTTACTTTTTAGCTCCCCAATTATTTGTTGTTGTAAATCATCAAATGTAACGAAGAGATTCATTAGAACTTTCTGAAATATAACCATTTTCTCAGATGACTTCTCCACATTATTTACCACCTTTATTGCTTCGGAGATTGCTATAATAGTTTCTAACTCTTTATTGATCTGTGGTATTTTTTTTAAAAGAACGGCATGTGTCTCTCCTTGAAACAGCTGACGTATTATGTAAAGATTTTCAACAATATTTGCATAATAGCTTGACAAATTAGGATTAAGAGGCTCTTCACGCACTGAAACGTCTTGTTCCGCCATTACTTGTTGAAATGCATCTTTATCAACTTTAGCTTCAGTAGTATCTTTAATGGGCTTCTCCTCAATCGTCTTTTCGTCAACTGATATTTTCACATCAACGAGTGTAGATGCAGTTTCCATCCGATTTTCTACATCAGCTTTTACTGCTACTTCAATTTTAACAGATTCTGGGGTTTCAGTCAGTTCAGTCATCTCAGGTTCCTTAGAAGCTATCTGGAACCTTACTTCACCTTGCAAAACTGTAGATGAAGATTCTTCAGAAATTACGAATGCAGGGACCCTAACTTTCTCTTCCGCTTCTGGTTTGACAGAGTCTGAGGTTACAGTCACTTCGGCCGCCTCAAGCTCTTTAGAAACTACTTCTTGTTTAGGCACTTCGGCTTGTATAATTGTAGATGTAAGTTCTTCAGAAACTACTTGTAAAGGAGCCTTAGTTCCCACTTCTGCTTCTGGTTTAACATATTTTACTGTTTCTATCAGTTTGGACGTCTCAGGCTCTTTAGAAGATAGTTCTTGTTGAGGCTCTTCAACTTGCATAACAGTAGGTGTTGGTTCTTCAGAAATTATTGCTATAGAAGCCTTAGCTTCAACTTCTGCTTCTGGCTTGACAGATTTTTGAGTTTCAGCCATTTCGGTAATTTCAGGCCCTTTAGAAAATACTTCCTGTTGAGGCACTTCAGCTTGCATAATTGTGGATGTAGGTTCTTTAGAAACTACTGGTGCAGGAACCTCAGCTACCACTTCAGTTTCTGACTTGACAGTTTTTGAGATTTCAGTTATTTCGGTCGCCTCAGGCTCTTTAGAAAATACCTCTTGTTGATGGACTTCAGCTTGCATAATTGTCGGTGTAGATTCTTCAGAAACTACTGCTACAGAAGCCTTAGCTTCCACTTCTGCGTCTGTCTTGACAGATTCTGCGGTTTCAGTCAATTCGGTCACCTCAGGCTGCTTAAAAGGTACTTCTTGATGAGGCACTCCAGCGTGCATAATTGTAGATGTAGGTTCTTTAGAAACTACTGGTGCAGGAACCTCAGCTACCACTTCCACTTCTGACTTGACAGTTTCTGAGGTTTCAGCCATTTCGGTCGCCTCAGGCTCTTTAGAAAATACCTCTTGTTGATGGACTTCAGCTTGCATAATTGTCGGTGTAGATTCTTCAGAAACTACTGCTACAGAAGCCTTAGCTTCCACTTCTGCGTCTGTCTTGACAGATTCTGCGGTTTCAGTCAATTCGGTCACCTCAGGCTGCTTAAAAGGTACTTCTTGATGAGGCACTTCAGCTTGCATAATTGTGGATGTAGGTTCTTTAGAAACTACTGGTGCAGGAACCTCAGCTACCACTTCAGTTTCTGACTTGACAGTTTTTGAGGTTTCAGTTATTTCGG